CCATGGACTGCCAAGAAAACAAACAGATTCATCCTGGAGAGGGTTAAACCAGGCTACTCCTTGGAGGCAAGGATTCTGGGGCTTCGTCTGACATACTTGGATATGTAAGGAGAGAGGGGTCTTTGGAGAGGGACATTATGCTTGGTAAGGTGGAGGGACAGCACAGGAGGGGAAGACCCTCTATGAGGTGGATTGATTCAGTGACTGGAATAATCGGGATGGGTGTGTCAGAGGTAATGTGACTGGCACAGGATAGAGCAGGGTTTAGGGCTGTTGTACATAGGGTCACTATGAGTCGCAAGCGACTCGATGGCACATAACAAGAACAACTACATTTACTTTCTTATGTACTTTGTGTTTTTCTGTATTAAGACTGTGTAGAGCTCACATATTTTAAACATTATACCTCAGTTTTCTCATTTGTACAATGGAGGTCATAACAATACCTCATCTAATAGCGTGGTGAGGAATAAACATTTAAATACTTCTTAGTGTCTATAGAGAGAGGCTGTGTCTCTGTGACAGTTTGACTCCACGAGTAGCAATGCATAGGCAGGTGATTTATAGCCTTAGAAACTCAGAGAAGAATCAGCTGTGAGTCAGTTCTGAAAAGTTTGAGAGTGCTCAAGGGAAGGAAGTTCCTTGTGAACATTTAAGGACACTGCCTCCACAGGACTAAGGATTTTCACTCCAGTGCCTTTTTCATTACATCACTCTAAAAATATGGCACAACATTTAGAGAGAAAGCCTATATACAGTCACAGAGAGAACCAGAACCTTCTGAGCCTTCCAAGGTTAAATTACAATCAATCCTTCCCTAGAAAGTTTCCTGAGGCAAGCCCTCTAAGGGCCCCAAAGGGTATACTTGCAGACACAGCTGAGCAGAGTGGGTTGTCTCTGGGACTACAGGGTCGGGGAGGAGTTGGTAATACATCAAAACACGGGTTCTACAACCAACAAATACTAAAATCTACAAAGAGCTCATGTCCTACATCATCTTGTTTTCATGGACTTAAATGTGATACAACTCCCAAAGAAGCATTTGATTGGCTAGCTAGATGAACTGTGGAGAAAGAAAAGTTCTATTTTGTCCTGGGATTATGTAACAAAAATATATGTTTCATTGACAAGAAAGAAACATTTACATCATCAAGAAGGTAACATTTCCACAATCTTATGGAAAAACCTACTACTTGTAACCTGGAGACTTCACAGCTCCATTTAGGACACTTAAAAAGTGGCCTTCAAGCTTTGTTATCTAAGTTTAAAAAAATGGTTTTTAGCATGCTTAAGGTTGTAACTGAAAAAAGAAATTTTACAAAAGAATACTTATCTCTTTTAAAAAAAAAGTTTCTCATAACTTAGAAAATAATTTTCCGTGATTTAAACAAAAAGGAGGGAGAAGTGGACAAAGTACACTATCATGTCCAGTGAGAGTTCTCCAACATGCACAGAAACAAATGCTAGAAGCATCCTCGTCAAGTCGTGGGCCCTACTTTGCTAAAAGCCTGTGACTTATCTTAATGTTTCCTGTTCACAAGTAGAATAATTATAATACACAAATTCATGTTAATTTATTCACCAAAGTCAATCATTCCAGAACTCACACAGGCAGGCATCTCTAGTCTGTGCTACACTGGACAGGTGCTCAAGTTTGTACTCCAGGGACCACACCAGGAAAAAGGAGTGAAAAGCAACCCTGCCTACTCCCAACTCAAAAAACTTCAGAGCACTGCACAACGAATACATTCTTGCCGGGAAAACCCAGTAATGGCTGCCTGAGTTACAATTCAAGGATCACCACTTTACTAACTATATAACCTTGAGCAAATGATTTCAACACGAGATTATGGAAATTAGTTATGTGATTCTACACCATTGCCATTATGTCGTTGTTGTTGCTGTTGATGATTACCTTCAAGTAGAGCACGACTCATAGCAACCCTATGAACAAAAGGCCTGATGCTTCTCTACAACTATCAACATTTATCAAAGTTCATAGAGTTAGCATTATATCAGTGATTCATATTATTAATACCTACTACACTTCAGGAAACAACTGTTGCATTCATACAAAACAAGTGTCATTACAAGGTAACTTTTGGCAAAAAAAAATTTTACTGAACTTTTAATAAGTGTTGTGTCTTGGTTTAAGAAACAAGACTACTTGTAAACAGCAACTCTGTGCATTCCTGTAGCCACAGATTTAACAAAACACACACTACCACCCACCACCATCACCACCATTTCTGTTTAGGGCCTTTTAAAGTCATGGGAAGTATTCACTTGGAGCTGAAAAATGCAAACTAAACATCTCTGCTAAGGCAGTAATTAATCCTCTTTGCTACTTAAAATTCTCACAATCTCTGCCACTAAAAAATATATTCACGTGGGCATATTGTGTCTGTTCCTTTTATATAACAATTTTATCAAATAAGCTCCTTCCGGGTGTTCTTTAATGTTCAAAACACTGCCATCTATTAAAAAGACCATCCTCTTTTCCTTAATAAAGTAATTTCTTATTCTTTATAAAAGATATATTTGTGACACAAACCCTAAGACAACACAATTTCTGATGTGAATACTAGTAAACCCAAAGTCAAACCAAAAGAAGTAGTCACACAAGCATTCTATAATATAAAGAGACAGTATTCCACATAGTTTATTTCTCACAGTTCTCCTGACAAATGAACATTATTCAAGAACATACTGTATACACAGATAAGAAGAACATACAAAATGTTTTAAATGATGCACAACAAAATCCAGCAGTATAAAAGAATGCATGTGAACTCTTGCTCACTGTGCAGACTAAATTTAATCACTTGTTTAAATAGTAATAAAAATACAATCTTTTATGGATCTTGTGCAGACTACAAAAGAGGGGAAATTATTACCATATATATGATTTTTATTTTATTAGGCAGTTTTCTTTGATGAGTTGTACCAACAACTCCAAATACAGAGGCAGAAGGCTGTGTATTTTAAAGGAATTAATGTTGTGAATTAGACTTTACACAGTTACTACCACTGGCACTTTTCACCATAGTTTGTACACATCACATGATCATCTTATATAACATTACATTTAAAAAATATATCTGAGTGACAATTTTAGAACATTCACACACCATGAGCTGGTTAAGGAGGTAATGCCACAGTTACCTCCTGTAGTGCTTCACTGTTGGTAATACAGACAGTTCACTGTGGTTAAAAGAAATTAGACATCAATATGGTTAAGCAGCTCCAATTTACTAAAGGCCATAAATGGCCACCACTGGGACAGTGAGTTCTTTTAAAGTGTATATCCTAGAAGCAAACACCATCATTGGTTAAAACTCTGCCTAGAGAAGTCAGTTTCTGTGCTGAAAACTATTTTCACAACAAAATTGAAAGCTACTAAACAGTTTTTATATAAATACTTTGTCTTCTCATTATCATATTTATGACCAAGTTCTTTAAAACCTTTGGAATTTTTTCTCTCTTTAATGTGTGCTCTCATTTCTAACTCACCCATTTAAGAGCAACACCTACAAAGGCTTTAAGAGAGTGGTGAAAAGTTCACCAGGGAAACCCTTTGCTCACCAGGAATGTTCAGCTGCTGAACAGTGTTTTCTATAGCCGCATCGGTGCAGAGCTGTACTTGACGAGAACACTCAGGATGCTATCATGCTCTGAGTGTCATTTCAGGGAAAGCAGAGAATCTTTCCAAACTGTGCACATAATTAACAATGATACCATTGCTATGTGTTGAAGAAGACTAATACACAATGGGCCCCTCCATGTCATCTATTCGCTGGAAAGTAGTTTGGGTCAAGGTAATTATAACTGGTGCCCTGGGACACACAGTAGTCTCTGTCTAAGAATGTCTCTGACCTATAAATAGGTTCTAATTGATGATCTTCCTTGTGGATATCTGTTTCATGTAGGCTGCAAAAAACACAATACACATAACACATTATTACATAGTACTGGACCTATTTTTGTTCTGTATTATGTTACTAAACATGATACAGCTCTCAACTACTTAAATACATTAATCTACAACAATTTCCAGTTAAAGATACTCAAAACAGGGTATGATTAAAGATTACTTAACTGTCTTGAACAATACAATATAATCCAGTAAACGTGGTTTATTTTCTAAGAAGTTTGGAAATCAAACTAATTAATGGCTGAGTAGCTTTTTGTTTTTAAAGTATGTAAAACTTACAATGAAGGAAAAACACATACCAGTCTGAACAGGAATCACAGAAATCCAAAGACATTTCTGGAGGACAATCTTGACAGTGCCACCGAACACCCTGGATAGGTTCTATGCCACAGTTATCACACTATAAGAGATTCAGAGAGAACACAAATTAAGATACAATGTTCTACTTTTTTTTTTCCTATTAGGAAACAAATGTCATAGGCATCCTCAAACCTACGACAAGCTGGATAGTGGTATAAAACAAAAATGGTTTTAAAAAAAAAAAAAAAAGAAAGAAAAGTTTCTCCTAATCTTTTAAGCTAACATTGATGTTGTGCAGAATTTATAAAATTTTCATTGTTTTTCAATATTGTATTGTACTCCATCAGTACATCATAGTTTCTCTATTCATTTATTGATTAGGCATATGGGTTTCTACAACTATTTGCTATTCAGAAGAAAGCATAAGAGTGTATATATCTGTCCATGTTGCATTTCTTGTTTGTTCAGGATATGTAGCTGGTAGTTGTATCAAATAGTAATTTTACATTCAGGTTTTTGTCCGTTTTTTAAATTTATGTAACTATTTTTATACAATTAATCACATAAATTGTTTCATGTACAATTTGTCTTATACAGTAAAAACACCCCAAAACACAATAATGGTTTTAAATGACACAGTTTCTAGTAAACTAGCTGAAAACTTTGCATACTGTGATACAAGAGAGTGAGAGGAATATTTTACAGGCTAAAACATTAAAAATGTTTTAATATAAAAATCTGCAAAGTTGAGGAATTTTATTAGTAGTATGATTCATCTCTTTAGAAGCAGGAGTGGCATCCATTTCCTAAACAACATGCCTCCAGAAACTTTATGAATGTTGACAAATGTCAAGAGGGGCTTCAGGCCTTTTATTCATAGGGTCGCTATAAGTTATGCTCAACTCGAAGACAATCAACAACATTCAAACACTCATCTCAGACCTAGTAAAGGGACTATGATTTGAGAATCATTACTTAAAAATCATATACACACATATATAAAAAAAAGTCACAGTATTATTTAATGAGTTACTCTTAGTAAACATTAATCCACGCAATCATAAAATCCTCTGAACATTTTACTTTATTGAACTATTTCCCAAAACCAATGCTCATCATGAAAACAGGGAGCAGGGCATCGAGTGAGCCAAGCACAGTACAGATGGAATTTGAATGAGAAATATTATTAAAATAATTCATTTGGGAGCCTCAGCAGGGAGCAATGTGTCTCAGAGGAGGAACGAGCCTCGGTGGGGAGCAGCTGGTCAAGGCAAGTCCCACCTGCCAGAAACAAGTAGTACAGATGGAATTTGAGTGAGGTACTTGTGCAGGGGATTACTGCTGATTGCTAGACCAACTGTGCGAACCCTTCACCTTAAGCAGGAGGGAGTTATTGGAGCTAGATTGGGGTGGCAGACCCAGTTCTCGAGGGGAAAACTAAGGCTTCCAAGTTTTCCATTCAGGTCCACCTGCACACACCACCACCTCACGTGGGTCTACATATGCACACCTGAGGTGCCATCTGTGTGTGTGCCCACCTGACATGCATCTGCGCAAATGCCAGCCCAACCTTCTTCTGAAGCAGTGACATCAGGTCAAGAACCAGCTGGCTATTACCTCAGGAATGGAAAACTCTACCACAGAAATGTCACAAAAGAAGCAGACTCACTACCTACACAAGCCCAAAGCAAGATATCACCCCACCCAAAAAAAATGACACAGTATCAAAGAATTTCCTGAAGCCAGAAAGTCTGATGGAACTTTCTGACACACAATTTAAAAGAAACATTATTGACTATTTTCAATGGGTGAAAGACAAACTTGAAGAATTACTAGACACTGCGAGCAAAAACCAGGAGGGGCTTAAATAAATAATCCAAAACACTGCAGATAAAATAAACGAGGCATTAGAGGCACTGGAAAAACAAGAAACCGCAATCCAAAATAAGAGGTCCAATGTTTCAGATGCTGTTAACATGATGTAGGGACAAAAGAGCAGAGTTGAAATGATGAAACACAGAACCAGTGAAATAGAATTGTCACCACTGATCTGCTAGAGCAAAAAGCAGAATCAAAAAGGAAAGAAAAAGAAGAAAACCTAAGAATAATGTGGGACACCATCAAGAGAAATAACATGTGCATCACTGTAATTTCAGAACAAGAAGTAAAGGCACTGAAAAAGTTGTGGAAGAATTACTAGAACAAAACTTCCCAGGGATAATGAAGAAT